GGGNGGGNGGTGAGGGGGCTGGGGAGGGGGTAAGAGGGGCTGGCGATGTGTCGTAACCCTTGTCTTGCTTGTCGCTGGCCGTAGATCCCCTGTGAAGATGAATAGACACGAGCAGGTTTAACTTAAAACAACGCAGTGAGAGATAGCAGATTTTACATGTACCTCTTGACAAGGAGGGAAAAAGTGCGGCTCCCAACAGCAGCAGCTCCTAAACTACCAGGGGCCAAATTCTGATGCATCATATACCGAAAAACATCCAATGTACACATGTAATGCAAGAAAAATCTGGGTTTCGCGCAGGTGTAGTACAAAATGTACATTCTGCTGATGTGCAGGTATAATTACACCCTTATCATACAGACCCCCTTAGACCTAGAAAAAAATGTTGTGTTTCCTGTTTCAGTCCTGAAAAAATTAGGGTTGGCACAAATGTAGGTAGGGTTTTTTTTTCCTTTAATTTAGATCATGGAGTTGTATGTCCCATGCAGGGGGCCAACCCAAAAAAGTCTAGGGTTGGCAGATTTTTCTAGGGTCGGTCAGGAAACAGGAAACACAACATTTTTTCCTTGGCCTTACAGACGTGACTGATCAACCTTACATAATTTCATCTAGAGGGGCTAATATCGTAAACAATTATAATGAAAGGTAAAAATGAAGAAATAAGTATGTAGTGGCCATCGAGAACCCCTTGTGGATTAAACCAATTCTGCAGAATTCTTCCCAGAATTCTGGCTCCAGTTCTAGACTTCTGCAGAATTGGGTTAATTTCCAAGGGGTCGTGGATGGCTGCCACATATTTCTTACATCATTTTTACCTACATGTCCAGTTTGCGAAATAAGCCCATCTAGATGTAAGGTTGCTGAGATATGGGATTTGTCCAGAATTAAATTGGAAGTCTGGAATTGCAACAGTACAATACACGTGGGACACAGGCAGCTTCTGCTTGGGTTTTGTTTCACACAATAGAAACAAATACAGGACAAGACAATACTCATTTTCACTTCAGATAGAGGTGTAAAGTGTGTAGTGTATTTCCCAAGGGCACACGATCGGTGGCATGTGAGGACTCGAACCCGGGACCTCTTGGTTCTGAGCTGAGCACTCTGCCATTGCTGTTATTCTAAAAGAAGAATTCACCACTTCCCAAAGTGCCTAGTAAAAGTCACGGATATGACGTAAGACCCCCCCCCCTTCCTCGATGTAATATTTCCAAGAAGTTCTATCGACAAACTGGTCAAATATTGTTTTGAATTATTTCTCAAGTATAAATAATAAAGCGCATACCATAATAATTATTGCATTTTTGTTGGAATTAGAGAAAATGATGTACATGTACCTTCTATCATTCCACCTTCTACCGAAGACTCTCCTACTCGCACGGTCACATTACGTATATTAGTAAGAACGATAGAAGGTACATCATAGAAGGGGGAGGGGGTGGTCTTACGTCATATCCGTGACTTTTACTAGGCATTATGGGAAGTGTGAAATTGGTGAATTGTTCCAGACCTCCTCCTCCCCCGCCCCTGTGCAGACCCAGGTCTGGCTGCGGCTGAAACAGCCCCTACGTTGGAGGCTCTTCTCTTCTTGGGCTTGTTGGGCTGTGAGTTCTGTAACACTTCAGGGATGGAGGCAGTCGTACACAGCAGGTAGTTAGCACTGCCTGGCTTAGGTAAACCTGGAGAGGGGAGAAATGTTAGTTCTGTATCATTCTGTATTTGTATCAGTATAGCCGGTATAACCACCAGTTATGTCCACCAGTTTATTAGTCATTTTGTACAATGTCATGATGCACAGTCTGGACATTCTTTGTCTTCCAGCGAACCCCACTGTAGGTTCCTTTTCGTTACACTAGCACCCCGTTGACAGTTGTTCTTGCAGAATCTTGCAGCTTGGTTCTGTGCCCTTTCCAGTTAATCTTAGTTTGTCTTTCTTTGTATATGGATCCCATACTGACTACATGATGTAGCTTTTATAGGACCAGATTAAGCAGAAATTGAAACCAAAAGAGATCTTTTTTGTTTAAAAACACAAAATCTGAGTTTCCACACCTCCCGAGAAAGGATATAATACATATTAATAATGTTCACAACTATAGTTTTGGACATTACATTACATGGAGGTTAAAGTTTTTTTTTCAAGAGTTTAGGATGGGAACTAGGCAGTAAGCAAGTACTAGGCTAAGTGTACTTGAGGCCTAATCACAACCAACATACCTACCAAATTTCATAAGAATCTAAAAGTACCTTCTTAATAAGTTATAACACTGGTCACCTCAATTTTGGAATGTCACTTTCCGAATTTTGAGACACCTATGTTGAAACCCCTGATTTTCAACTTTGTTATTCCTGGATGTACAGTGAACTTTTGCATGCCATTGGAAAGATCATGCTATCTTCAGTACCAGGTTGCTTTTTTTATGGTCAGAATGTACAAATTTATCAAGATATTTGACTTTAAAAAATTGCAAGCCTGGCGGTCTAGAACACACACCGTCATGCCCAGCAGCTTAGCCTGGCAGTCCTAAACTTTAGCCCGCGGCCTGAGTTAGCCAGCCCGCATCCAGACCGCATCCAATTAGCCTCATGAACACCCCATGAAAACCACTGAATTAATGAGAATTCACATTTTCACACCTGTGTAATTAACAAGTTTGTGATAAATTCATGAGAGGTCTGGGCTCAATGGTTAGCCCGCGGGCCTGAACAGGCCTGTCGGTCTGTGGACAGGCTGGGCTGATGATTAGGCCTTTAATATGATAGAGAACCTTCAGACTTTAAACACCAAACAGAAAGTGGGAAACAAAAATATGCTTCCAAATTGATGCTTCCAGATTGATGATGGTTTACACTTCACTTCATATCACTTCATATTAATAAACACCCTTCACATTTTCAGCTAATATTTTCAATAAGTGATTACATATTATTGACAAGTATGATGTACAGGTATGAATGATGATAACTTTCATGAATATTCATTTTGAACATTTTCTGCAAAAGCTTCAGAAATTTCTACTGGAAGAATTTTTCCTGTACATGGGAAGAATTGTTCTGCTATTAAGACTGCAAAAAGTCTCTTTCTAGTAGAAAGCTTTTCGAACATGTTTGAGGAGGTGGATTTTGCTCCTGCTGTGCTACCTGGGCTGATACCTGGGCGGGGTGTAACATTTGTGTAACGGTTATGACTAAAAAAGATCAGATAGCATCATAAAAGACCCTTGTCTCAGCAAGAACACTTCATATTAGACCTGATTGGTTGTGGTGTTGGAAGCCAACTTTTGAGGACACTTCATGGTCACTTACAGTTTCTGTTTGGCAGGTATAGTCCAATCTGTCCTACTATGGATGGGCAACTCCCCTGGCCAAATCCCTTTGAAACATCATGGGGGTAGAAATTTATCTTTTTTTTTAAAGAATGAAGACTTGGCTAAGTACAGGTCACAACAAAACAAGATGAATGGACATGGTTAACAGATAAACAATAACTCCATGGAAACATTTAAATCAAAAGGAAAACATTTGGAGTTTTAGTGCCATAATCCTGCCATGTATAAGCCTCAGCCGATGTACACTGAAAACATAAAAAGCAAGGAATCGATCCTCAATTTGCAACATGAACTTGCTTTCAGTGCAAGGAGTTGTACAATGCTTTAGGAAATTCATGTTACATTTTCTTTTGTAATTATTCTGTTCCTGCACCTTTGTCATGCGGGTCATACCTCAGGTCACCTATTGTTCCAGGCATGCAAATGACCACTGTCCAATTATCAAATTAGAGAGTCTGGTCGGGCTACCCTGACATGGGTGCACTGGCACTGGCTCAATAGCCCGAAAAAATATCCTATCAGAAAATCTCATGACATTGTAATGACAGTGTCAGATGGCCTGGGTTCACACGCTGAGAACCATGTCTTGGCCAAATCTTTCTATCCCACAACTAGTTTGTAGTGTCATGATTAGATTAGATTTAGATTATGAACAAAAAATTAATGATGAGAATCTTTACAGGATTTGTAATAAGTCTAAATTACAATTTAATTGGAAGTGCTTGCCCAAGGCCTAGAGTCAATTCTATATTGCTATATTCCACATTACAAATTGTAACCATTTCGAAAAAAAACACAATGTTTCTAGATAATTTCAAAGTATGATTTAAAAAAAGTAGAAAATTTTCTAATTGTTACAATATTTGTGAAACATCTCAAATAGGTTATATATATAATGAAAAGAGCTGTTCATTCAGTTTGGATATTTCCCAAAAATTTAGGAACAGAACGTAAAATGCTTGTACAGCGCAGGATGTACATGTATGATAGCAGACCAGGTAGCCTGGGTGTAAGAAACAGGGGCGAGCTGTAGCGCCTATAACCCCCCCACTGTTACATGGGTACCAGACTGCTGCCAGGCTAGCTCCTTGGCTCCTGGAGGGCCAACATTTGCCCAAGGAAATGTCACCATAGAGTGATAATAGACATCCCTCAATAAGCCTATGAATTACATTGTAAAGGCTTGTTATCCCCTAGACACAAAGAACACAGTTTCTTTAAAAATGGGTGACAAAAGGGGAGGGGAGGTGATTATGATAAAATTAACAAGTTCTAACTTCCAAGCAACAACTTGAAGTTAGTCTCCAGTCAGAATCTGATCAATGTTAGACGTGTTTACAACTGAAGAAAGGGGATGCTTTTGCTTCCGAAGCAAAAGCATTCATTGAGTTATCAGACTGCATGAATTGTCATGACATACAAAAAATCAGATGATCATTGATCAATTACTAAGGTGACCTTGAGAGAATATTGATGTAATGTTGTAATTTTATAGAACAGGATTCTTCTTCAAGTGAATGAGTCTGAGAAACAAGTAATGACATTATATTTAGTCTCTATGGCCGGCCAACTCCTCTGGCCAATGATGTTCCCCTTAGCCATGGAGCTACCTCCATGCCTTAGCCGATTGCTACTATTTATTTAGCCTGCAAAGGAGTCTGGTGGAGACTACATTACATGTATATTGGTGTGGCCTAACAGTTGTATATATTTATTATACAGTCATTCCTGCCGAAATTTCTAGGAAGGATTCTATCTGCAGGAATCTACAATGTCTTAGTAGGTTTTTCCTGCAGAAATTTCCTGCAGGAAGAAAATTTTCAAAATTAATTTCCATGCATGTTATCATTCATACCTGTCCAATTATCAAATTAGAGAGTCTGGTCGGGCTACTAGTACCCAGACATGGGTGACATGGTCTTTGCAGCTTGCACTGGGTAGCTCAATAGCCCGAAAAAATATCCAATCAGAAAACCTTATGACATTGTATATAATGACAGTGTCAGATGGCCTGGGTTCACACGTTGAGAACCATGTCTTGGCCAAATCTTTCTATCCCTCAACTAGTTTGTAGTATTATGATTAGATTAGATTTAGATTATGAACAAGAAATTAATGATGAGAATCCTAGTTTTATTTTTTAAGATAGTCGGTCATCTTTTCAGGCTCCTACTGGGTGACCCAGTAGTCAAGCTGCCCAGATAGGGGTACTGTAATTCGACGTGTAACTCAACAATAGTCCAACTTGATAATTGGACAGTGGCATTTGCATGTCAAGAACAATAGCTAAACTTAGTTTCATCCCGCATAACAATTGTTCCTTGATCAGAATAATTACCTGAGAACTGTTGAACCATGGTTGAACAGAAATGGACTGAGGATTTTATAACTCCATTGCTTGAAAGCAGGTTTAAGTTGCAATGCATGTATTAGGCTTCTTGCTCATATTATATAGTACTAGAATTTTGTCTGGCAAAACTGTCTGTAACATAATTTTCCCAATGTTTCAACTGAACTGAACTGAACTTCAATGACATTCAGGATGCTCATGAGAAAAAATTGTTTCATTTTCTACCCCTAGCTGGTACAGAACGTGTTTGTAAGCTCTTCTTTCTTTTTTGTGGTCTACATGTAGTTGAAAGAGCATGCGAAGCTGAGTGATTGAGTGAGTGAATGAGGTTGAAAGCGGCAAAAATGTACAACACTGTTAACAGATGGGTGTGGATTATGCTCTCCTTCCTTATTTTCTGCTCTGAGAATGAAGTTTTACACATCACTTGGATCAGACCGCGGTCTGAAATGTAGTCCGTGAGGTCTGAATCCTTACCCCACCAGGCTGAAATTGGCACAGACAGTCTGCAAACATCAATCAATTCACGCCTTCCATGCCATTGTTTTGGGCTTTTTGCACCTCTTTGACCAGAAATTCCAGACCGCGGGCTGAAGTTAGGCTGACGGTCTGAATGGTTTTTGAGTAAATCAGCCCGCGGGCTGGGATTCTACACCTGTAGTCTAGTGCCTTTAGACCGAAGGTCCTGTAATTAAAACTTGCCGGCTAGTTGTTAGGCCATACGGGCTGTTAGGAAAGACCACCGGTCTGCTTGTATTTATTATTAATGATATCTTAAGTTATGACACTGCAGAACAATAATTTTCATATCACTGTGCTCATTACACCAAGAGCTACACACTGAATGTGAAACTTGAATGTTGAAAATCAATTTTTACTTGAGTTTCCAAATGCCTTGTGACTTTCCAAAATTGATGCGACCAGTGTTTTATCATGATGCTAAACCACAAACATACAATATGTCATGTACATGACTAAATTCAAATGCTACCAAAAACATATTGGCCATTTATTGCCCAAGGTAATAAACCATCAACACCTACCTAGAGTATATGTGCAAAGTTTCACACACAAACACTATCAATGACATAACCTTGTGGCAAATACAATAAGAAATAAAACATGATCATGATATCATTACTTACTGAAGGAATATGTGTAACAGCCCAGTTGCACCTGTCTCTTCTCCAGCTCTACCTGTATCTTTGTGGAGCCTCTTCTCCGAGGACGTGGCTTGGCTGGGACATTAGTCGGTGTTGGCACTCTTTTTACATGGGCCTATTAGAACAATCACAGGAATAAACTTTTGATGCAGAAACTCAACGATTAAGTTTTTTTGATAAACACATTTTTGTAGTGATACATGTACTCTCAAAATAGCTTATTTCATTAGCTTACACAAAAAAATATCATACACAGCCAAACTATAGAAATAGAGGACAGCAATGGCATTTTTAAATGATCACCATCTAGATAACTCCTGTCATGTTAGACCAATTTTGTTTCTTATGCATCATTGTTGTACTGTGAATGATAATAAGGTTTGTTAAAAAATACACAGCATGCTTGTACCTGTTAGATAAAATGAGTACATTCACTGCCATGTTCAATATTCTGTGGTAAACCTATGCTGATGTGCTCCATGCACAGGGTGTTCAGTAACAAGGACAGGTGTGTTTGCCTGTGTGTGGATAGTGTTCAGTACCAAGGACAGGTGTGTTTGCCTGTGTGTGGATGGTGTTCAGTACCAAGGACAGGTGTGTTTGCCTGTGTGTGGATAACGTTCAGTACCAGGACAGATATGTTGTCTTTGTACGCATGGCATTCAGCGCCAAGTACAGGTGTGTTTGCCTGTGTGTGGATGGTGTTCAGTACCAAGGACAGGTGTGTTTGCCTGTGTGTGGATAGTGTTCAGTACCAAGGACAGGTGTGTTTGCCTGTGTGTGGATGGTGTTCAGCACCAAGGACAGGTGTGTTTGCCTGTGTGTGGATGGCATTCAGCACCAAGTACAGGTGTGTTTGCCTGTGTGTGGATGGTGTTCAGCACCAAGGACAGGTATGTTTGCCTCTGTGTGGATGGTGTTCAGCACCAAGTACAGGTGTGTTTGTCTTTGTGTGGATGGTGTTCAGCACCAAGGACAGGTGTGTTTGCCTGTGTGTGGATTGTGTTCAGCACCAAGAACAGGTGAGTTTGCCTGTGTGTGGATGGTGTTCAGCACCAAGGACAGGTGTGTTTGCTTAATTATTTGTGCTGCTTCTGCTTCTCACTATCCTGTACAATTCCTTTAAATGCACTTCTAAAATGGAATCTGGGATTTCAAACCCCCAGAAAACAACATGATAAAGTACATGATGTACTAGTATGCTGACCTGACTCACTGTTTTACTAGTTGCTTCTTCCACCTTTTCTTGAACGGCAGGAGGGGCTACAGGTCCTGGGGCTATGTCTTCTGTCTTCATCGGTGCATTTTCTGCCTCAACCTGGAAGAAAGTGATAATTTAAGCTATTGTAGTAAGACTTACATGCAGTGTATGTTACAATATGACGTGTTTCCATGCATCTTCATAGCATTATAAAACATCTAGATGAGGCATGAGACCTACATGTACATTGTACACGTACATGTATGCAACAAAGTAGCCAGAGATAGCATACGTCAGTGAAGGTAAGACATCCAGGTAATAAGATACGCCAAAAGCAGTTACTCAAGAAACTTGACCATTTTCAAAATCATATCCAGTTGCATGAGTAACTTCTTTTTGGCAGAGATAGCATAGTTTACCCTATTTCAATGATAATGCTCTGCAACCCTGAGCACACACATACATTTGTAAATGCTGCCAAAACTAGAAAGGCCAATATTTGCTTTGGAGCAAATACAGCAATGGGTTCACCACATTTTACGACATGGCAGGGAAAGAATGAGAAACACAAGGGAAAACAATGATTTACATTGATATAACTATAATATGAAGTAACATACAACTAAAACAACAGTTGGATAGCTATTCCCTACTTTATTGGTTAGGATATTTAATTGCATAATGCAAACTGTTGATTTTCAAAATAAATAAAAAAACGTTCATGCCCCGCATTCCAATGCTGGAGCAGAAAAGCTTGAAATACCTACCAAAACACTTGAATAAAGACATACTGTCAGTATGGAAATGCTCTGTGCAGGTGTTAATCAAGTTAAATCCCAACAGCCAATCAGCAAGAAGTATAGAGGAAAACTGCATGCCTATTGGTTGATGCCCTGCATTCCATTGTGATGACTCATGCCCAGACGTGGTAAACACGGCACACTAACACAGTAATACATTTGCTATAACACAGCCAAAAAACTCAAATAAAACCATTCTAAAAGCCTGTATCACAAAAATTTAAAAAACGCCTAGGGGTATTTGCCCACTGTACCTCCATACCAAATTTCAGGACCTTAGGCCCTAAAATGAAGAAGCTGAATCCATTTAAAAAATGGCAGGAGAAGGAGGAGAAGAAGAAGAAACATCAGAAAAAGCAATATGGGTTCACCACCACTTCGTGGTGTGGTGAACCCATAAATATAACCTTCTTGGCAAAGGTTATTATCCATAGAAAATAACACCTTCCTTTATACATGTCTGTACAAAGTAACATTTGTTGATGAATGAAAGCTCATCTGCGTTCAACTTGGTAGAATCCATAGTTGAAGAGTTTAAGCTTGTTCCCACACAAGGAAATAAAGTCACCATAAATTTTCGGCTGATTCCGTCAACCTTCATCAGATGTGTGATGCAATCGCTGGTCACTGATCAGCTGAAAATTTATGGTGAGTTTCTCCTTTGTGTTGGAACAAGTTTGAACTCTTCAACTATTCGTTGATGAAGGTCAGATATCCAGGTAAAACAATTTTCAAAGACAAATCAAATCCTACTACACTAGTACTACTGTACTGGATACATGTCAATTATGGAGATTACTTCTTTCACAAAAATGTGATTAGTGTGGACTTGTTTGCTTGGTTTGTTTGCTCACCCTGGATGATTAATTGATTGATTGCTTGATTGATTAAGTGAGTGAGTGAGTGAGAGAGTGAGTGAGTGATTGGGTGAGTGAGTAATTGAGTGAGTGAGTGAGTGAGTGAGTGAGTGAGTGAGTGAGTGAGTGAGTGATGAGTGATGAGTGAGTGAGTGAGTGAGTGAGTGAGTGATGAGTGAGTGAGTGAGTGAGTGAGTGAGTGAGTGAGTGAGTGAGTGAGTGAGTGAGAGATTGCTCAGTTCACTTAAGCTTCTTGACACTGAAGAAGAATGACAGATGTCACTCCAAACGCCTGGAAGAAATTTATCCAGTAGACTAAGTAGAGTTTGATTTGTCTTTAAACAGGAATGAAATCATTCTTACAACAACTGGTTCTTGTCCTTCCACTGCAACAATGCTTTCCCGCTCTCCTGCAATGTGGAAGTCCAGCGAGGCGAAGTCTTCCGACATGTACTTGGGGTTGACCGTCAACCTTCTGCGCAAGGCTCGCTTCTTCTCAAGAACCTTCTGTTCCTTCTTGGCCTCCTTAAGACTCTGTTTGCGCTGCTCCATGACCTTCTTTCGACGATCTTGCGGCGACTCCTTGGTCGAGGGGCTCTCCTCTTTCAGTTCTAAACAATTCAACCAGGTCATAACCAAAAAATACATTAATTTTCAACAAAAAGAGACAATCAGAGATCAAATACTTCAATCAGTCAGATGGTAAGCACCCTCTGCCAGAATACACACAAACTGCAGTGTGCCCTCTTGTAGAACATACATGTACATGTACAGAAACTGCAAGCAGAAGACTTAAACAAGAGTTAAACTGCTTTGGGGTGAAGTGACTGCCTAATATCTAGAAATTGTAACAATTAACGCTAAGCATATTCAGGTTTGCAACATGTAGACATGCAGGTATTGTACATGTACATGTAGATATGCATGTGCCCCTGTGCTGTATTGGCTGGGCGGTTATTAACTTTATAATATTATAAAGGAGAAGAGCTATGCTGAAAAAAGGAGTATTCTTCACAATACAAAAAGCTTGGCAACAAGACAAAGAACAAGAAACCTGTAGCAAAATTTACAATAGCCCCATTGGCCCAACCAGTCCAATTTTACTTCAGGCTCCTATATGCTGTCAAAATTAATAGCAAAATAATAAATATAAAAATTTTCTATCACAACTAAATATATATCATCAAAAACCATTTTACAACACAGGCTTGAAAATATGGTGGTTATCATAGGAAGAGATTGGGCCATGAGTGGTTGCAATGGGTAAGTGGTCGGCTTAGGCAAGTCCCTTACTGTTTAAGTCTAAGGCCGCACCAATTTAATTTGTTGGTTCTCGGATTCGCCTCTTCGTTTTTTTCTGATTTGCAAAAAAAAAAAATTTGATTCTGGTCCTGAATCAACTGAAAAATGCTCATATTTTGCCCAATACAGTTGAGGAAAGTCCTTTTCTTCCTAGTTGTTACAGTTTTCCCATCTATCATTGCAGTGGTTTGATTAAAAGTTCAAAATTCAATGTTTAAATTTTAACCAAGCCTTTTGTGTTGACTTCATGGCTCATTACGTAGCATTAAGCCTATAATGGTATGCCTAGACCTATTTTTATTTTTTTTCGCCCTGTCGCTTCATATTTTTTCTGAAAAAATCCGAGAACCAACAAAATAAATTGGTGTGGCCTAAGGGAAAAAAATTGGGACAGAGAAAAATCCTGGGTAATAATGCAACTTGGGCAAGTTTGACTGTTATAACTGGAGATTCACGTCTTGTGTTTATGTCTAGTGGTGATTGTTAATATAAGCTACATGCACATTATGTACAATGTTTCTTTTGCTTAAAAGCATCACCATATATGTATTGTTTTCTTTAAAATGTTGAAATAAAAAAAAAGATATTTGCTGAATGATTATTAAAGGCTCAATTACTGTAAACAGTTCTAATTTTGTAATGTTGTTGTATAACATTGCCCCCTTATATGAAGAACAACAGTTACTGTTACAAAGAAAAATCCACTTTGTTATCTGTCTTTATTTGACATGTCTTGAGCAAAATAACTAAATGTGGGCTTAAAATTTACAATACTGGTAAGTATAAAATTGCATTTGTGTATGATGTGGCATTATAGCCTCCTTCTGTAATCAGTACTTTCGTACATTTTATACAGTGACTTTATTGTGCGCACTGATTCTATACCAGCTCATGGCTACAGTGTCAACTTGTGCACACATGCATAACTGTACAACATTTGAAATTCTGGACAGATTTTAATTAATGAACCACAGCAGTCCAGTAAATAATGGTACATGTACAATTATTGTATTAACAGTTTTTTTTTACAAAGTATAAGAATAAGATTGTAAAATTGTGTGTTTTTTTGTAGAAAGAATTAAGGAACTTGTTTAGTATAATCGTTTACTGTTTTATATGACAAAATTGTACTACTATTTTATGTACGTTGATGAAGGTTAGACATCCAGGTAAACGATACTCGTAAGAAAATTCAAACTCTACTACTGGATCAGTTAACGGATTTATTTCCGGACGTTTCTTGTATAGTTACTTGTATATAAGAGTGAATCGGTTCTCTGTTCATTTGTGACGCTGAAGAAGAGTGATGGATGTCACTCGAAACGTCCGGAAATAAATCCGTTAACTGATCCAGTAGTAGAGTTTGAATTTTCTTACGAGTACTATTTTATGTAGTGGCAAGCTTTAAATCTACCTTAAAATTCAATTTATTTACAATAATTATAGACTTACATGTAAAATTACACATCAAATTGTTATCTTAGCTACAAAGTACAGACATTTAATTTAGGAGAAAACTAGTTCTCTAAAATCAAAATAAGTTTTTAAATTTGTATACTGTAATTTTGTTGTATTTCTACCTACTAGTATATAGTACATTTAATTCAGATATCTACTGAAATTGTCGGGTTTTCTAGCCACATTTACTACATGTACATGCAAGTCCCCCTCCTCAAAACCTTGACTATTAATTACTTGAACTTTGGAAAAGTGGCTAAGGCCAAAGTAAATGTACACTGTACTTTGTACATGTACGTTTTCAAGGTGAGCCTAAGGTTTAAAAAAACAACTTGGCAACACAGTAATGTGGAAACTTCATATACTTGTAGAGTCTCACTAGTTTGGTCATTGAAAGAAATGATTTTGTCTTGGCATCAATAAATATGATTTCACAAGTCTCATCTTTTTATTCTCTGCTGCTATCCAAAACAATGTCTTCAGTTGGTGTCCTTTGTTTTTTGCCTGCTTTGTTGAAGCAAGGAGGTTTAAAATTGATTAAACTGCTTTGAAGTTGGTTTAAGTCTAAGCTCCCACTTGAAGTGTTGCAAAAGTTGGGTTAGGCATCATCTAAAGTCAGGAGAGGGCATGATTTTTATTTCACTCCATACTTAAGTATGGAGGGAAATACTGTTTTTACTGATGATTCTCCTCCTCCTTCTTCTTCTCCTCCTGCCATTTCTTTAAATTGATTCAATTCCTTCATTTTTGGGCCAAACGACCTGGAATTTCGTATAAAGGTAGAGTGGGTAAATACCCCTAGGCGTTTTTTTATTTTTTTTGATACAAGCTTTTACAATCGTTTTATTTGCGTTTTTAGCTGTTCCCATAGGAAAGTACTGTGGGGCGTACGCGCGTGACGTAATAAGAAAGGAATTCGGGGGCGGGCCCAAATATGGGCATGCAAGCATGAACCTGACGCAGCCTAATCTTTTCTTCTTGCTGATTGGCTGTTGGATTTGATTGGATTAACTCAATTAACACCTGTTCAAAGCCATTCCATTTTGACAGTATGAACTCAAGTGTTTTGGTAGGTACAGCACAGGCCACGAAATACGCATCAATTTTCGAGGGACGTTCTGCGGGAGAGTGCAGGACGCTGTGCGGGACTTCCCTCGGGAGAGTGCGGGACGTCCTCCGGGAGAGTGCGATACGTTCTGCGGGAGAGTGCGGTACGTCCAGCGGGAGAGTGCGGTACGTTCTGCGGGAGCCAGACATTTTGCTCTTCTCTGTTGGAACAACGCAAGTTGGAGGTCAATGACCTGCGCCCGGCGTGTAAACAAGATTGGACAGGGAGCGGCTGTAATATCAAAGGAGCCGGCGGCTTCTGCTAGCCGGGTTGATAGTTAAGTAACATCAAGGTGGTTCAAAAGCAAACCTGATAAAGAAGGAAACCCCGTAGTTAATAGTTGAAAGTCTTGGTGGCTTGAGGCGATCGATACCGCCATGCTGTTTACTTTATATGACATACAATGCAGTGAGTGATGTGTATCGCAACGAGTTAGCACGGTTGGTAACGCGCCAGACGGCAATCCCAGAAACTGTGAGTTCGAACCCCAGTGCATCGGATATTAACATTTTAAACAATTTTATCATTTTTAACAATTTTATCAGTTTTAACAATTTTATCAGTTTTAACAATTTTAACAATCCTGCATTTTAACAATTTCAACATTTTTTTTTGATTTTCGTTGTTTTGCTTTTAACATTCAAAAACTGATTGTTCTTACTCAAGAATGTCAATAACTTAGAATGTTAGTCTTTTGTATTTTTCCAACATACAAACCAAAATCACTTTGATGTTGTCACAAAAGTATGGAGCTGACAAGAGAGAATGAGTACGGTACTCTGCCAGTGTGAAGAATCTACAGAGGTATTACCAGTCACTAGTAGCAAGAGATAGACCACATTGAATGATGACGATGAGGACGAATCATATGGAGTACTATCATAGCTTAGTACAGAAATTCTACTGCTTTACTTTACTTTACTTTCTTTCACTCTGTACATGCAATTAGCTCACTGGCATGATTTTAAAAATAAAGGTAACCGTTATGATAATCATATTATATGTATAGCTTATTCAATGTATGGCTTCATAGTTTATGTGATTGTTAATAAGGCCATGTTGATTTGATTGTATGGATGGCATCTGTGCGCGCATCGGTTTTCGTTAATTTAAAACTAAGTTTACGACATTCATACAAAACATCTGGAAACTAAGCAAACATACTCTGTAAATTGATTACTGTAATTCCCGATTTTTTTTCACTGTACCGCAACGTAACGCAAGCAGGAGGTCAATGTTCACGGTTTTCACTGTCACCTCTGTACCGTGAACTTATCTTTACAGTTAGGAAATAATTCCTGGACTTTCTTTTTCCTGCAACTGTCACCACCGTGAATAGTTCCGTGAACATGTCCATGTTTCTCAGACCGTGAAAATTTTGCTACCGTTAGTAGTAGTTGCAATTTCGTCATTAGTAGTATTTAGATACCTGCAATATGTAACTTTGAAATTGAGATAAGTGTAAAGTAAAGCTGTCGAGATTTAAAGTGCTTGTCGTTGTATCTTTGTAAAAAAAAGGGAGATAATGGCCAAGTGCCATTTTTGTAAATATCTGTCGAGATTCAAAAAGCTTGTCCTTGTATGATTGCAGTATGATTTATTCAGAATCTTCTATTTTTGTATGGGGAGGGAGATGGAGTGAAATATTACATTTGCTCCGAAGCAAATGTTGGCCTTTCTAGTTTTATTCAATTATTCCTGAACCTTTATCAGATTCAGTGTGTGGTTCATATCACTGTCTTTTGTTCCAAGTCTACACAATCTATCTTGTTCAATCATTCTGCGCCTGCTTGTTTTAAGATTCTCACTATCTCCACATTCCCACTGTCAGCTGCCACCTGCAGTGGCGTTGATCCAGTGCTATCAGTCTTGTTCAAGTCAGTGCCTGCGCGTGTCAGGGTGCTCACAATCTCTGTATTACCTTTCAAGGCAGCCACCCAAAGTGGAGTTTTCCCCGTGCCGTCTGCCTTGTTCAAGTCAGCACCCGCTTTTGTCAAGATTGTCACGATTTCCGAATGTCCGCTTCCAGCGGCTAGCCACAGTGGAGTTGTCCCCGTGCTGTCTTCCTTGTTTAAGTCGGCGCCCGCTTGTGTTAAGGTACTCACAATACCAGCATTACCTCTCAGAGTCGCTACCAAGAGAGGTGTCCTTTCCTCGTCATCTGTTTTGTTCACGTCAGCACCCGCTTGTGTTAAGATTTTCGCGATCTCGACGTGTCCCTTTTGAGCTGCCACCCACAGCGGAGTCCATCCCATGTCACCTGCCTTGTCCAGGTCAGCACCTGCTTGTGTCAGGATGCTCACAATCTCTGCATGTCCCCGCGCGGCTGCCAGCCATACCGGAGTCCTCCCCTTGTCCCCCGCTATGTTTGGATCGGCTCCCCTGTCCAGAAGTAGTTTTGCAGTCTTCTTGCAGTCTTTTATACAGGCAGAGGCCAGGGAGGTTTGACCAAGTTCATCAGTAGCATTGACATCGGCCCCTGCTTTAACCAAAGTCTCAAAGACTTCTACGTGCTCATCCCAAGCCCTCCTGTCTGAACCTTCTTCCACCTGCATGAGTTTTTTAGCGGAGAGACATAGCGGGATGAAACTATCTGATTTATGTACATCAAAACCTTCGTCAATAAGAATCGTAAGTAGCTGTGAGTCAGCATTTTCTATAACTATCCAGAGGGGACTCTGTTCACCTTCATACATGTAGTCTTCATCAGTGTGTTGTACGAGAAGTCTGCACACTTCCGTGTGTCCAAGAGAGCTGGCATAGTGAAGAGGAGGGAACCCAGATTTGTCACACACATCTGGGTCTGCCCCTTCCTGAAGTAGCAGTGCTACAATGTTGGAGTGTCCACCCTTCACTGCATCCCAGAGTGGTGTTTCTCCCTGGGAGTTCTCTGTGTTCACCTGTACACCTGCCTGTAGCAGCGTCTTCACCTTGTCTTCATCACCTGTCCAGGACGTTATCCTTAACAGTGCATCACCCCAAGCATCTCGCAGTTCTCCCTCAAGTTTTCCTTGCTTCGTCTCATCTGACAAGACAAAGACATCCATAGCTTCCTCCACTATCTCTGCCACTTCTTCTTCAAGCTCTTCCATGGACAGTACATCCCCTTCTAAGGGACAGTTGAACCCAATCTTCCTAAACTCTTTCTGTAGGTCGGTGGCCAGCCTGCCACTTTCTAAGTACCCATTAAATGCACGAGCACACTCATCCGTTTCTGGAAACATTTGCACATAGATAGAAGAGGACCACATTTCAGCAACGTCTAAACCTTTACAGTTTTTGCTGATGAGTTGGGTGATGATTTCTTTGCACAGGTCTTCATTTGTATCATAGAGTTGTGAAATGTCCTCCACAAGCTCTTCCTTTACAGGTTCCTCAATCCTAAGGTAGCAGCACTTCTTGAGCTTTTGCTTTGCAAGCTGCATGCTTTTAATGGCATTCATTGCAAGATGTAGTAAGTCTCTCGAGAGATCTTGTTCTGAACTGGGTTTCCCCTTGCGATGTTTCTTTTTAGATTTTCTTTCTTTTTTTCCAGTTTTCTTCTTGACAATGTTTTCCTTCTTATGATGTGAAGAGGAAGATGAGCTTGAAACAATAGACCTACCTGATGTGGTCTTTCTTGTGGACTTTTCACTTGGCTGTGAATGAGAAGTACTTGAATTACTTGATAATGACATGGACCTGACAGCTACATTTAGAGTCTTGTTAGTCGCTTCTTCCTTGACCTGTGCAGCAGAGGTGTCCTCGATGTCCTCTACTATACCTAACTCGTCTTTCACACTGTCCACGAGGTCTTGTCTTCCAGCCTTCTTCATAGCGTCCAACAATTTCTCCACTGTTGCTTTCTTCCCATTTTGTTGTCTCCACTTTTCCAGCAAGACGCGACTTCGCCACATGAGATCCGTGCCAGTAGTCTTGTTAATCATGTCCTCTATGACGTTCTTCTTCAGCCCCAAAGTTAGGGCAAGTCGTAGCCAGTCCCCACCAAGGTTTGACTGAATAATATGAAAAGCCGCCTCCATCTCTTCTTCTGTATCCTTTCCTGCTGCCATTTTGCTGTGATAGGGTAGTTACTGCAGTGTTCCCACTTTAAAATGGTCACAGTTAAATCATGTGAGTTGAAGTTGTTTGTCTAAAGTTGCCCCCCACTAAGTAAATGGACTTTACTCTGCCAACTGTACATGTTTTTACTGCTTCAATCAGCCAATGCATCTCAAGACCTGCTAAACCATGCCGATTGCATGTATTGTAAATAATTGACATACTAGTAGCACTACACTCCCCAATAGCAGAGATGGAATGTTGGAGGAGAAAAAATAATCAGGTCTGGACAAAACCTATAAGTCATCTTCTAGGATCTCCCAGAAACTGCAAAACTTGCAGCATTAACTTGCAGCATTAACTTGCAGTTATCAATAACTACATGTACATGACATTATGTAAGTTTTCTACACGTCATTGTATTGGTACATGGAGGCAGACATTTTGTACCTGCTTTTGTAACCTGTGTTACACAAATTCTGTGATTAGCTAATAGGCCACACCAATTTCATTTGTTGTTTCTCGGATTTGCCCTGTCCTTTTTTTCCGATTTGCAAAATAAAAAAGACTTAAGGTTCTGGATCAACAGTTACTGCAAAATGCTCAATGAAAGACATATTTTGGCCTAACGGTTGAAGAACGTCCTTTTCTTCCTGGTTGTTATTGTTAAAATTGTTTTAATTTTAAAGCAGCCTCAGGCTGGTATGTTGACTTGGCTCATCTCATATTTAATTCATATTATTATAACAGTTCCTGCCTTCATGGGGTGCCTTGGCCTTTTTTAAAATTCTTTTTATTTCGCCCTGTCGCTTCATATTTTCTCTGAAAAAATCTGAGAAACAACAAATTAAATTAGTGCGGCCTTATTATAACAGTGAGTGGATTACAAATTGATATCGTTATCTCTGTGACTGTGCATTTGTCATTATTTAGTTGTGCTGACAAAGCACTGGTAGTAACTTAGGCATGTTGAGGTCTTAGAGACAGAAGTTTGTACTACATTTTGTGCATAAAGAAATCCTTTCTTGACAAATTACAAGGCACTTACCATGCCTGATTAATGTACAAGTAAGTGACAGCAAATGCAATTAGTTAACATGAAGGGAAACCTCTATTTAGTTTTAACTAGTCAAGGTTTCTGTGTCCACTAATAAAAGCTGATAAGGGTGTTACCATGTTACTACTAGTGATGATTTTTCTTGTAGGCTACAGTCACCAAATTAAACTTCGGTCACAACCTGCTGTACGTGCTTCTGCGTGCTGTCTACATGCAAAAACCTGGGCAAACGCAGGGCATCTGTGCGTGGTGAGTACCGCCACCGTACGGAATCCTACGGATTTGGGAGCACGCAGACACGCTGTAGAACTTTAAGTGCATGTAAAACGTTTTCTGCGTGCGGTCTGCGGATTCACCACCCGTGCGTGTGAGTACGGGCGACGCGCGTGCCCCGTGTGTAACGTACGAAAGACGCATGTGTGAGTACGGCCTCCTTACGGTAAAGTTACAATCGCACAGAGATCGTACGTTGTAAGCACGTACAACTCACCACTTGCGCAACGTACGATGCACGCAACCACTCACGGCCAGACGTGGCGTGCAGACCACACTCTTAGTAATACATGTACACCTTGCGAAACCGTGCGAGTGACGTGCATCGACGAGACTTGGCTAAGCTGGTCATTTGTCCAACAGTTGGGACCACACGTGACCCTGTATCTGCCTTAATGTGTGATGATTGTGTCATTTGCAAGCCTGCATTGGTGTGCTTCAAAACAGACAAGCACATACATGTACTGTACAGTGTTGTTTCACATGTACATGTACATGGACTCGCTTTCCATAGTTTGTATATTGACATGTGTCCTGTACCTATACATCTTTGATATGATTATACACAACTGTGTAATTACATGAAATTGACGAATGTACATTTCATATCAGTCTGTATGAAAGGACATGAACTTCGAAATCTGTCCCAGTCTGTCTTTTACTGTTGCCGTGCTTTTGTATGAGGAGACCACTTGTCTACACTGTATATTTTTCCCCTTAGAAAAGTCCCCCGAGACTTTTGACTCAGCATTGTAAATCATTTCTAAGGTTTTACTTTTCTTATTATACTATAGTTTCCCTTGTAATCACAAAACATTATAATTTTACAGACCAAGTAATTGATAAATTGATATGAATAATGACATAGTTTCTATCTTTTTCAAAAAGGAAACTGTGTGTGATACGTTATTTTGTACTCACCAGTGCTGCTCTTGTCTGCAGTAGCCTGTTCAGTCCCACCTGGTCCCTGGAGTTGCCTTTTCTCAGCTCTCTCTGCTTTTGCCTTCTGTCGACGCAGTAGTCTTTCTTCTTTCTCCTTTGCCTAAAGGAACATTCATTAAAAAAGGCTCAATAGTGGTGTGGTGAAGATATAAGAATCGCACAGCTTTTGCATGCATTTCAATCAACAAAAACACATGCTTTCTAATGGCTTTGCACTACTTTGGATCGCAAAGTTATTTGAGATCAGGTTTGGTAAATTACAATACTACTGGCTTGGCTTCGCTGTCACTCAAAGATTTCCTAAGCAACAAAAAATTTACCAGTACATGTACAGTGTACAAAATACTTTTTTGAACCAGGTTGCCCACTGCAAAAAGGTTGCCCATCAGAATTTTAGGTTGTCCCACCTATAAGTTACTACATGTACTTTCCTCAAATTAAGTAATGTTATACATACATAAGCCTTTGACAATATTTCTAACAGCCTTTAGTAACTTAACTGATACTAGTAATAGTTATTAATACCTAAAATTAAAAAGCATCTGCCGGATACAGTGGTGCAAGCCAAGTGGGCATGATTTCTTGGGAAGGGGAAAAATCCAGGTAGCACACTGGGCTGCCTAGGCTACCTAGGTTCAAAAATAGGATGCCCCAAGTAAATTTGGTTGACCAGGGCAACTGGGCAACCAGGTATTTTGCACCCGGATGTACTATAATTTTCTACCAAGTTCGCGTATAATTCATTAGCTACAGTGTACAAAATGTACAGTACACTCACAATCCGTGCCCTTCGTTCCTCCTTAGTCTCCTCTTCCTCGCTGTCGCTGTACTGTCCTGACAGCATCTTGCGATACGAAACCTGCTTCCGCCTGCGTGACCTTCGACCCTCCGCGGCTCCCGGACTGGCCCCCTCCCATCCAGAACTCTTACTGCCTGGTCGACTGGTGTCTTCACTGTCAGCTACAGAAAGTCAGGCACAAAGTACATAGTATTTATGTCGGTGAAGGTTAGAGATCCAGGAAATAAGATACAAAAAAAACAGTTCCTTGAGCAACTGGATATGATTTTGGAAACGGTCAGACATTTCAGGTAGCATCCACTACCTTTTGTAAGAGACACTGGAGAGTTGTCAGAAAAGCAGATCTATAAGTAGAAACTATTGATTGATATGCAACTGGATCCACCCCTGAGACATTGCCAAAAAAACTCTAGTTAGAGCACATTGCAATTGAATGGAGACTGACACTAGAAAAAAGTAAGTTTTCTCCTTTCAAGTAAACATACATGGGAGTTTTAGCTTTGGGGTTTTCGTTGTTTAACACACAAACTATGGTGTACATGTACATCATAGACCTGATATGAAACAAATTAAGTGGAATGGATGGTATTATTTCATATTCTTTGCTGCCCAATACATCAGATGAATTAACAAACAAAATAATCCTACAAAACTTAAAAGGGGTTGACTACATCATACAAATACAATGTACATGTACATGGAAATCTGCATTGTCACAATGACCCTAAAATACAGAGAAAGCAGCTGTTTGGAAGAAAATAATCAAAATATATTTAATCTAATTGGATATCTGAAACCCAGGCTAGGGACATTGTAATTTTCTGGTCATTCACCAATTTCACACATCCCATAATGCCTAGTAATGGTCACGGATATGACGTAAGACCACCACCCTCCCCCTTCCCCGATGAAATATTTCCAACAAGTTCTATCGACAAACTGGTCAACTATGGTTTTGAATTATTTATCAAGTATAAAGCGCATGCCATAATTGCATTTTTGTTGGAATTAGAGAAAATGACGTACATTCCAACAAAAATGCAATTATGGCATGCGCTTTATACTAGACAAATAATTCAAAACAATAGTTGACCAGTTTGTCGATAGAACTTGTTGGAAATATTACATCGAGGAAGGGGGAGGGGGGTGGTCTTACGTCATATCCGTTACCGTTACTAGGCATTATGGGAAGTGTGAAATTGGTGAATAGTTCCAGCGCCACAGAGCATTGTGGGTAAGGTCAAAGGTTAAAGACTTTCAGAAGTACTTGTTAACTAGTATCCATGTTGAAATGTTGTGATGTCATATTGAGACAAAGAAGTCTTTATAGAAGAAATATGAGATTCCAAACTTACAGTAAGTATACATCAATTTATACTATAAATGAAAAAAGTTTATGGCCGTACAATAATGTTTTAGGCTACAAACCCTATCTAGACCGGGGGGTGGGGGGTGGTGGGGGCTAAAAATGCCCGCGCCAACTTTGATATCACGTAGCGTCTGAACGGCTAGCCCTAGATCGGTCAAACTTGGTGACTTTTCCTATTGTTGGTAACATTTCTGTATCATTGGAATAAGATAACTTTATTTTGTTGCCATAGCAATGGGTTTCTGACAGGCATTTTTGCTAAATTTAGATTTTAGTTTCAACAATAGAATTTTATGGGTTTTATTAAGTTACACATGGTTTCTTATATTAATAACATCCCAGATACTTTTATGCAAATTTTATAATTAAAAATGCATAATTTATGCTAATTTGATGACGTCATTGGCCAAAATCCAAGATGGGGGACCATATCATTAGAACATTACACATGTTATTTTCCTTAAAATTTCATCAAAACTTTCATTTCTTTTTACAAAAAAGGTTCATATGAATGTCTTTAGTCTGCTTACAATGTATTTTAGGCTATATCCTGAAAAAAAAAACTATTTTTCAAAATTCAAGATTGATGATCCAAAATGGCAGATAGCTTAAATATGCATGATGTCCCACCAAGCCCAAAAAAAGCCAGGTCTAGATAGGGTTAAGTCATTTTAAGAAAAGACCAAAAACAGTTACTGTACCTAGGGTATAGAATTTTCTTCTTACACAACCAGTAAGGTTCTCACCTGCTTACGTTTCGATGTCTATCAGACACCTTCCTCAGAGCTTCTGACTGGAGTTCTGCAACTCGCCGCTATTTAACGCCAATGTAGGTGGCGCTTTTGCGGCGAGAATGCAATCCCAAACGTGGCTGAGCTTGTATCCCCCCTCGTCCCGGTTCATCACTGGGGTTGACTTCCTTATCCAGACTGCTTCTTTAATCCAACGGATTCTTCTATTGTCCTCTCTATCTATGGACCTTTCGGAAAGTTGAACAGAAAGAGAAAAGGCCAAAGCAGACAGAGAAGAACAAGAAGGAAGGGGAGAAAACCAGGACCATGGTGGTCATCCCATATGTGAAAGGTGTCACCGAACCATTAGAAAGGATCTTTAGAAAACACCGGATAACCACAGCAGTTAAACCTAAAACATTAGTTACTGTTACATTGAGGAACTTGCTTGTCCACCCTAAGGACAAGTTGGGGGACCATGTGAAAACGGATTGTGTTTACAAAATTCCTTGCAAAAGTTGTGCTGAAGTGTACATTGGAGAGACTGGAAGGACCTTTGGCAAAAGACTAGAAGAACACAGAAAAGAGGCAGACAACAGCGAAGCCATAAGATATACACGGTCCCAGAAACAGCAAGCACAAAAAGAAGAGAAGAAATCGGCAGTTACAGGCCATGTTGCCAGGAACAATTGTGTGATAGACTGGGAGGGTGCCAGGGTCATAGATAGAGAGGACAATAGAAGAATCCGTTGGATTAAAGAAGCAGTCTGGATAAGGAAGTCAACCCCAGTGATGAACCGGGACGAGGGGGGATACAAGCTCAGCCAAGTTTGGGATTGCATTCTCGCCGCAAAAGCGCCACCTACATTGGCGTTAAATAGCGGCGAGTTGCAGAACTCCAGTCAGAAGCTCTGAGGAAGGTGTCTGATAGACATCGAAACGTAAGCAGGTGAGAACCTTACTGGTTGTGTAAGAAGAAAATTCTATACCCTAAGTATCTTCCAACCTGATGAAATTATTTACAGTTACTGTACCTTCCTGCGTGGAATGATATTTCCTTTCTGCAGGTGAAATGAGGGACCTTAAACTTTGACCTTAGACCACAATGCTTCACGGCTCAGCAGCACAATGTTGTTGCTGTTCGTCCGTCGTAGTCGACGATGACCAACGAACATCACATCAGGTCATTGACGTAGCACAATGTACAATGGCAGGGTTGGACAAGTTTTCAAAAATCCACTTGTTCATATGCCACTTCCCAACTTTTTACTTCTCCCAAATATGACAATCTCTTCTATGCAGTTAACTTCCAAAAAGAAAATTAATTTGTTTTTTTAAGAAAAAAGCACTTTATAAGCAGTTTATAATGTTTTTTTGCTTTTATTTACCAAAATAAGGGTACTTAGAGAGACTTTTGTGACAAAGGGGCATATTTTTGACTGGTATCAAATTGAATATAGTTATATCTTTATTTGAAAATGATGAGTAATTTTGCTCCAAACACTGAATCCAAAAAAGTTATTTGCCCAATGTGGCAAGTACAGGGGGATATTCACTTGCCCGAACAGTACTTTTACTTGCCCTCAGGGCAAGTGGGCAATGGGACTTGTCCAATCCTAGCCTGAATAGAAACTGTGAGTGGCTTATTTGGGGCAGGAGTATTCTCTGATGACATGGGGGTGTGATGGTGAAAGAGGTGACCCAGGGCTCACCAACGTTAACGCGTGCCTGGACAGGAGGACCCTGTACGTCCGCGGCCTCACCATGCTTTACCTGGACCTGCACCTCACCAGCACTAACTCTCACCACTGTGCAGAGAGGGGGGAGGGGGGAATCAACCAACACACCACTTTAACATCACTGTGTGCATGCTTATCCTCTGCATGCAGTGGCATCAATAGCATGTTGGCAAAATGTACTGTGCCTGCTTGAAACCCATCAGTTACTGTACAAAAGCATTTGAAAATTAGTTGTGTTTTCTATTACGATCATGAAAAAATTAGGGTCGGTACATGGGGATTTTTTTTTTCCTTACATATTAGTAATAGCGAAAGTGATTCAGCAAATGCAACAATTATTAATATGACACATTTGTCTACACTGGTATTTGGACTAAACTGAAATGTTAGGTCTGGTTCTGATTCATCAGATTGAAAGATTAATTTGAGGATGTCAATTTGAAAAGTTTAGGTCTCTCACCAGCAGCTGACCAATAAAAAAGGGCCAGGGTCAGTTGGGTAACTTGATAGACACAACATTTTTTCCAAGGCCTAAGCACTTAGGTTGTGTTCACATATTTGAAAAATGACATCCCATTTATAGAATGTAGTTTTTTTTAATGTTAAAGATATCCTCTGCAACGGTCAAAATTCTAGTGCGACGTACCATACATGTACATCCAACGAAAACAGTGAAAAATACAGGTTTTCCCACAGGCACAGTACGTTCTGCCAACATGCTAGTGTAAGTTTGGGGGTTAGGTCACCATGCAGATAGCATGCTGTTCTCAGGGCATGCAGTTCCTATCCAGCCAGGCAGTGTTATAGTGCAAGAAATGTCTGTGAGTGTGATTTTTTGAATGGCTGAATCACCATAAATGATTGCATTGTGCATTGAAGGTCTCAAATGGGAACAGAATTCTAGTCCTTTTGATTATGATAAGTCCAATATGTCTTCAAGTTAGTGTATTTTCCTAAACCCATGCTGTGCTCAGAGTAGTTTAACTTTGTTTTTTTTATTATTTATATTAAGATTTCTAAGGTGAGACTTACTTTGCATGGAGCTCCCTTCTGTGTCATTCAGGTCAGATTTACTTCTGTCCTTACCCTGTAAAATGAAAAAGCAAACAAGAAAATAATCAATAACAATGTCAAGTGGCCAATACAATTACTTTTTTATTTTGTTCTGAACAAAAAAAGGATCAACAGAACCAAAATAATTACTTATGCACTTGAGACTGCCTCGAAATTTTGGAAAACCATTGACTTTAAAAATCGTAATGTGGTCAGAAAGTGATAATCTGACGAAGGCTGATGAATTTCATTATGAATATGAGAATTCAAGGTGAATCTTTCTTTTTGTGTTAGAACAAATTAAAAAGTTTGCACTCTATAACTATGGATTTTTCTAAGGGCTAAGGAAAAAATGTAACTAGTGAGTGACAATTGTGTTTCCTGTTTCAGTCCTAAAAAATAGGGTTGGTAGGTAGGTATTAGCTTTTTCAAATTTTTGCTTTTAGACTTTGGCATTCTCTAGTGATCCAACTTGTACTTATTAAATATACAGATTAGCAAAGTAAAACTTTGATGAGGACACTTATATTTTTGATGTCAATGTTGAAAAACTACTTTCACAATGTGTCATCACTTATTAATTACAGTAGGTGTCAGACCATGGAGTTAGAAAAGGTTGGTGAGGTCAAACAATGTATGACTGTGCCTTACAGGGATCCACAAAAAAAGGCTAGGGTCAGCAGTTTTTTCTAGGGTCGGCCGGGAAACAGGAAACACAGCATTTTTTTCCTGGGCCTTAAAACACAGATGAGGTTTCACCTCTTGTTGCGAGAGTTCATCCTCAATCTCACTGGACGAAACAGAGCTGATCTCCTCGTCAAAGGACGACAGGTCACTGGTGTGGACCGAGCTGACCGACAGGTTGTCCAGGTCTTCATCCCCGGGCTGACGGCTGGACACTGGCTTGTGGTCACTTTTCTGTTGTTAAAATAACATATGAGACATTGTAACACACATACAATGATTTTCTTTAAACAGATAATAATCCATTTATTTATTCATCAAGATTTACCACATTTGTGGAAGGATTGACATACATGTACCTTTTACAAGGGAGAAATTAACTCAAGTACATGTACATGTAGAGCAAAAAGATATACAGCTTACATGTAAGAGCTTGGCAATCTTGCATGATTGGAAACTCTCTTTGCTAGTAATTATAATTGTACTAATGAAATTAGTGGATGTTTTCTAGCCTAGGTACCAACAGGATTTTCGCTCCGCAAGTGATTTTTTCAAGCGCTGTGGTGAAAGAATTCAGATGGTACTCAGGCTACTTAGTAGATGTTTTCTGCTAAAATACTATTTAGTTCATGTACTACTGTACAGTACTGTACATAATGTATGTTTTACCTTCTCCTGAATGCTGTACTTCTTGCTCTTGCTGCTAGAGGGCTCTGCTTCACCATCTTTCATCACTTTCTCAGAGATCATCTTTGATGGAGCTTCCTTGTCATCTCCTTTCTTTTCTTCTGCAATTTTCGGTGTTACATCCTTCTCTTTCAGCTTCTTCTCTTCCCTCCTTTTGTCCGATTCCTCCCTTTCTTTACTTCTTCTGTCATCCCTCACTTTTGATGTGTCTTCTTTTTCTTTCTCTCTGTGCTTCTTTTCTTCTAAACTCTTACTTGTCGCCGATGCCGTCTCTTTCTTGGTTTTACTTTCCTCTGTTGAAGCAGACTTTGATGATGACTTATACCTTACATCTCCCTGAACCTTTGAATCCCCAACTTTGGCAGATTTTCCTTTATAATCCACAGATTTAGACATCTCTGACCTGGAGACCTTTGATGATTTTGTGGGGTCAGTTTTGGTGATTTTGGAAGTTTTTGAAGCGTCTTCTTTTCTTGGCAACTTACCGGATCGGGTTGGGTCCTCACTCTTGGACACTTTAGGAGACCTGCTAGAGTCTTCAGTCTTGCTCATCTTAGATACTTTAGAAGGGTCATCAGATTTGGCCACCTTGGAATGTTTAGGGGAGTCTTCCCGTCTGTGCATCTTGGACAAGTCTTCAGTCTTGGGGATCTTGTAGGATTTAGAAGTGTCGTCCTTTTTGGGTATCTTGTACGGTTTCATCGAATCTTCCGACTTTGAGGTCTTTGGGGGCCTTTGGGAGTCCTCTTTCTTCTTTTCTGGCTTCGGGGACTCGTCTTTTCTTGGAACCTTGGCTGGTTTAGCCAAGTCGTCAGATCTGGAGGGCTTGGGAGGCTTTGTTGGCTTGTTGTGTTTCTCTGGTTTCGATGATGATTCTGATTTTTCTTTGGTCTGCAACCTCTCCCCGCTCTCTCCAACTCTGGAAGGTTCCTGTTTAATCTTCGCTGCTTTTTCGCTCGATTTGTTATCGGACGAGGACTTCTTTATTTCCCCTGCTTGTCCCAGAATCACTTGGCTTGGTGCTGAGATTTTAGGATCCTTTGACTCTGTTTCTATCTTCTGACCTGCACTCACAGGAGACTTGGATTCTTGACCAACCCTGGTGGACTCCAGTCTTGGATCACTTTTCTTGTTTTCGCTGACAAAGGAACCCTTTTGGTCTAAGCCGACTTTCTTTCTTTCTGGACTGTGTATTTTCCCCTCCGGTACACCCCTCCCCTCTCTACTTTTGGTATCTCCCTGGCTGCTTGTTTCATTTGAGGATCTCTTCTTAGAAAGTTCGGCTTTCCCTTGGCGTGAAGAATCCGAAGGTCGTTTCCCGGATTTTTCGCCGCTTCCCGACTCTCTTGTTTTCACGGAGGAGGGAAACTCGGTCTTTGGAGAAGATATGGGAATGGGCAAGTCTATGGGTAAACTCCCGAAGGGTTTAGCGTGGGGGGAGTCCTGTTTGGTGGAACGGCCGGGTGGCTCTGTCTTGATTGGTGGAGGTTCGGGGCGTGTCTTGATGAGCTCTTCTGCCCTCCGTCTCTCCTCCTCCCACTTTTTCTTCTCCTCCTCTCGAGCCACATGATCATGGACAACCTGGGGAGGAATCAGGACAGAAGGGTTTCAATGAAAGAACATTATGAAAGACCATTATTAATGCCATTACAAGCTACCAGTACATTTAAGTATACATTGTAGGTGACTGGTGTTAAAGTTCTATGTACAATAACAGTGATACAAGTCTGTTACATGTACATGTATCTAATACTCAGTGCTCAAAATACCGGGTGCATTGTGCTCCTTGGTGCACATTAAAAATTGGAGCTGCACACCCAAATTTTTTTTTCTGTGGGTGCACCCAAATATTTTGTAGGTTTATGTGTGTAAAGATATTAATGTACACTAGAGCACAGAATACTAGTATTCTTGACATCTAAGGCCATGTACATGACTACAATAATGAATGACATCTGTGCACACAAAAGTTGGCAACTCTGTAAATTGTACAAACTATTAAAGACAGCTACAAAAACCTTACAAATATCGTAGAATGCCAAAATTCTACGATATCAATACGATACAATCATATTTACATAATACAATTCCATTTTAGGAAAAGAAGGAAATGTGAAGAAATGTAAGTAAATCTGTCTATCATTCACCATACCATATTCTGTGTGTTTATGAGTCATTTCTTTAACCTTTATTACCGCATAGACTTCAGAGTAAAGGCAACTGTTTTGGGCCAAACTTTTCCTTTTCCTAATAATGTACGCTCGCATCAGTTTTGGCGTTCCCAGAGGATGTCATCCATATAATCAAATCAACATGGCCTATAGCTATGGCTTATCTTTGTCGTATCACTAAGTCTTGTACTGTTAGTGTTACTACATGTAGATTCTATATAGTATATACTAATATGCAGATTTGCTAGTAGCTAAATTGTTGATAATAACAAAATGTACAGTACATTTTACATGTGGTTTTAACTCGTGTAAAATTTTTATGCAAAAGGTTAATTGCGATTGAAAGCCATGCAAAAGCCATGTACCACACGGTTAAAACTGAGTTAATTGTGTAAAAGCCACGAAAACAACATGCAGTGCTGTTTACAAATTAGCTGTGTGTAATTGTACGATACAATCCATGAAGTATTGTCATGTCCAACTACCATATCTGCTTACGTAGGCCAATTTCTGTACACTTTATTTCATAAGCGAGACCATATTATCAATACATGAACATATTGTAACTCATATACTGTATAGATAGTAGTTTGTAGTAAGAAATATAATAGTTAAGTTTTGTAGTATTGTTGTATTACTGCCACACATTGTACCATGTACGATTGTTGAGCAATAAAGTTCATTCATTCATTCATTCTATAATGCAGAACCAATTACAGTTACACAAACATCTACAAAAGAAATGAACAGGATTTGTAACTTACACATGTTGATTAGTTATTCAAGATCTGTACTGTGCATAAAACTATTTTTTTACGTGGAATGTCCTTCTGAGCACTGACCTTCTCTATCTGTGGTCTGAACACATGCTGTATCTTGGGCTCAACCACCTGGTGTATAACACGGTCTATTCCCGAGGATAGGATACCAGACCTGGACAGGGAACAATCATTAATATACAGTAAGCAGGGCAGGAAAAACCACCTGCTTATGGTTAGTGCAGGTAAAATTGGAGCTGTGCAGGTATTTCTGATGTCTACCTACACCTAACCTGCACTGGTCCATGTACTGGATATATGCAGGTTAGTGCAGGTAAAATTGGAAATGTACAGGTATTTCTATTGTCTACCTGCACCTAACCTGCACTGGTTCATGTACTGGGTATATGCAGGCTTGTGCAGGTAAAATTGGAGCTGTGCAGGTATTTCTGATGTCTACCTACACCTAACCTGCACTGGTCCATGTACTGGATATATGCAGGTTAGTGCAGGTAAAATTGGAAATGTACAGGTATTTCTATTGTCTACCTGCACCTTACCTGCACTGGTTCATGTACTGGGTATATGCAGGTTAGTGCAGGTACAATTGGAGCTGTGCAGGTATTTCTGATGTCTACCTGCACCTAACCTGCACTGGGCCATGTACTGGGTATATGCAGGTTAGTGCAGGTGAAATTGGAGCTGTGCAGGTATTTCTGATGTCTACCTGCACCTTACCTGCACTGGTCCATGTACTGGGTATATGCAGGTTAGTGCAGGTGAAATTGGGACTGTGCAGGTATTTGTGGGTAGGTAGGGATTATTTAATTTTTTTTTTACTTCAGTAATATCTTTATCTAATGTTACATAAAAGGGGTGCAATTTATAGTTATACAATACAGTGTAACAAAGTAAACCTTTTATGAAAACACTTACTAGTAAATTTTCCATGTTAATGTTGGAAAACTGATGGTACATTCAACATTTTATCACTCAGGTGTCAGATCATGGAGCTAGAAAACTTAAGGTCAATCAGCTCCAAAAATTTATGTCCCTTGCAGGGGTCCACCCAAAAAAAAAGGCTTGAGTCTGCAGGTTTTTTTTTCATATTCTAGGGTCGGTCAGGAAACAGGAAACACAATATTTTTTTTCTAGGCCTAACCCATGCTGTGAAACAATAAATCCATACTAACTGGTTGATCTGCTGCCGTAGGTTGTTTCTCAGTTGGTTCTTGTTCAGACTCGGCTCCCATTTCTGGTTCCCCAGGAAGTTGGACACGTAAGTTTCCACACGAGAGCGCAGGTTCTGGTACGCGGGCTGGATCAGAAAGGTGAAAACATTGAGACTTGTAAGAAGATGATCTCAGTATTTACCTAAAGATTAAAATACTACAATGCGGTTATATATGCATCATACCATCATACCGCGACAGTATGGTATCCATATACAAAGAAAGACAAAGACAAATTGGAAAGGGTACAGAATCAAGCTGCAAGATTCTGTATGAACAACTATGAAAGAGGTGCGAGTGTCACAGAAATGAAAAGAAACCTACATTGGGCCTCACTGGAAGACAGAAGAAAGATGTCCAGACTATGCATGATGTACAATTGACTAATAAACTGGTGGATGTCCCAACTACTAAGTACCTACTAGTAATACCAGCCCAGATCTAGAGGAGAACAAGAAATAGCCATGCCTTCAAGTACCAGAGTTATCAATATCAACCAAGGATTGAGGTGTTCAAGAATTCATTCTTTCCTAGAACTATCGCAGAGTGGAACTCAGTGTCACCAAGTACAGTAGGGGCATTGTCAATAGATAGCTTTAAACAATGTCTAGAGCTAGAAGTTCAAGGGTTAGGTGTAACAAGGTGATCGGTGTAATATACAATGTAGCCAGCTGCCGCCGCGCCGCGTGCCTGCGAAGCTGGTGTGTTACGCCGAAAGGCGGTTATACCGGCTATACAGATACAAATACAGATACCTGCAGCTGCACCTAACTTGCAACTGTTCATGTAAGTTGGTTTACACGTATATACACAGTACCGGTAGTACAAATACAATGCATGTTTGCTGGATTGACTGTTACCTAGTAACCATTAATGTATACCGGTAAGTATAAAAGAAATACATGTATGTACTAGTAATGGCAATAGTTTTAGTATTACATGTATCTATACTTCACAAAGTCTGAGTGGTGCAAGTAAAAATTTTGGGTGCAAGTAAAAATTTTGTCTGGTACATGCAGGTATTGAATTAAAAAGTATTTTGACTTGAGCCCTCGCATTAGTCGTATACAATCTGCCAATTTTGTAATCTAGATTATATTGAAGATGAATGCCATTTTGTAGTTGACTGCACATTATATAGAAATGAGAGGGATTCCCTCTATACTTATGTAATAGATAAGTTCCCAAGCTTTAGACATTTAGATAGAATAGAAAAATTCGAATTCCTCATGAAACTTGACACACCATGTATCATTAGCTCAATATGTTCGTACATCTTTAACTGCGTCAAGAAGCAAGAAGAAGCTGAACCTGTAAATAGTAGAACACATTAGTTTATATAGTATGTATAAGTGTCATTACTGTTTTCTTTTCCCTGTTTACCCATGACCTGTACTTAGCTCGTTAGAGCACAAGCGTACAATAAAGGTCTTTCATTCATTTTATACAAAACACCTGGACGTGATGCCCCATGAGGGTCTTGACCAGTATACTATAGATACTATAGATGTAGAAAAGCTAAATGTACTTTTGAAAGAGCGGGGAAAGCTTCACATCTAACTGATGAAATCGTCCAAATGACACTTATAAGTTGTATCCACCTTCTTTTGTTGTGCGATTTACGTAAAATTTATATGTTGACTCTATGTAACACAGGGCAACGAGAATGGTACCTAAGCTACAGGAGCTTCCGTATTGCTCTAGGCTGGAAGAGTTGAAGCTGCCATCGCTAAAGTACAGAAGGGAAAGAGGGGATATGATCCAAGTATACAAAATTATGATGGCACACGAGCGGATCAACCCTGAAAATTTCTTTCAAACCAGGCAGTGCGAGAAAACCAGAGGGCATAGTTTGAAGCTAAAGGTGCTGATTGCCAAAACAACACTGAGACACCAGTCCTTTGCAGTAAGAACTGTACAACCTTGGAACTCCTTACCTAGTACAGTTGTGAAGGCTGAAAGCGTTAACAGTTTTAAGGCGAGACTGGATGACTGTTGGAGCAAGGGAAAATACCTAGAGTGAGGAGAGTGTGACTACAGGCTGATAGCCTTCTACACTGAGGGTTTCTCAAGGTATTCTCAAGGCGGTATGTAAATTGTAAGACGAACTGCGCAAACCTTTGTATCCACGTCACCCAGGCAATCCCTTCTGAACTGGTCGAACAGTCCCTGCGACTTCAGGTGATCCACGATACTGTTGATCAAGGCGGGATCTCCCGGATTACAAGATCCAGACGAAGAAGACGCCATGTTGCTGGGTTTCTTCTTCTTCTTCTTCTTCTTGTATACTGCTGATCATGAGCCCAATGGGTTTTGATGTCTTCGTCTGGATCTGGACAGAAAACCGTCAAAATTCTTCCACCTATCCAACCCACAAGCCTTCTAACGGTCTTCAAATTCCCCCAGGAAATATAGAATCAAAAGTCTAGAATGTTTTGAATACTTTGAGTGGCGATTGGCGAGAAATATCTGGCCAAAAAGGCACCAGAAACTGGTGAGATTTGCTCATTTTCTGTCAGCACGCGCCATTTTGAATGACCTCTGGCTTTTGACCTGGTTGACCCCATTTTGGCGGGAAATGCAAATTCAGGACTCAAGTGCAGACTGCCAAAAATACATAGGAAATCGAGTTTGATAGGAAATCAGGAAAAACGTTGACCTCAATTAACGTGCAAGTGCATCCATGATAAAATGGCATGCCTTAAATGATAGCCTACTTGTGAAGGACACGGCCCTCCTTGCCCTTAACTGTGGGGACATCTAGCGATATTGGTTTCCACAACACCATTGCACCTGCAAAGGAAAATACTGGCAAAAGCAGTACAGTCGAGGTGTGTCAAGAAAGATCATGAGTGGATTCAATTCATAACATCCTATATCTAACGTAATGTTAGCTCTTCTTGGAAGAAAGCAACGTTGTGATTGATCTTGACTCACATTGTCGGATCTCAACTTATGGATTCCACACTAGGCCATAATAATTATATACACACCCTGATCCTGCGTCAAACATACCTTTACGATATAGATAACTTTGAAATTCGTAAAGCATTAACTCAATCAAGAACTAGAGAGGCCGACATTTGCTTGGGAGCAAATACAGCATATTTCAGTCCATCTCCCTCCCACGCAAAAGTGGACTATTCCAAACTTACCCCAGTGTAAAACTGGCAAAGGTTCTCAAATAAATGATTTAAATAGTAGCTATATGAGAACAAAGATGCAACAACAAGTACTTTGAATTTCGAAAGCTTTACTAATCTTATTACAGGTATGCAAAAACTAACAATGAGATTTGATACATTTTGAAGGTCTTAGGCACATAAAATTGAATGTGTGGGTCATTACGCACCACTTAGGTGCAATGTGACCTCAGGTAACCCGCAAAAATGTTCCATGGATGGAACCGGCCATTCTTTAGATAGAACATGGAACGGGTACAGCACTTTTGGCCCTTTTTTCGCTGAAAATAGCCATTAAAGTCCCCCAAATGAGTCATTTGGAAGTGTTGTATGCCAAATACATGACTGCTATTCTGTAGACACATGTTCAAGGTACCCTTATACCGAATGTCATATCATTTGGTTGTAAAACCAGTGCTCAGGATCCAAAAATCCATTTTTTGGCAAAAAATGCCCCAAAAAACCTTCATAAAATTTTTTCAAAGGCATGTATCAAAAAAATGAAAAAAAAACGCCTGGGGGTAGTGGCCCAAAAAACCTTCATGCCAAATTTCAAGTCATTTGGCTGAATGATAGTGGAGTTGAATCCCTTCGACTGTTTGGCAGGAGGAGAAGAAGGAGGAGGAGAAGAAACATCAGAGAACACAATATATTTCATCCATACCATGGTATGGACTGAAATATAATAAATCTTTCAGGATGTGTTACATTGTCAACTGTAACACATCCTGCCATGCCTGGAAGCTGCGGTCAAATACTGGCGATGACATGTACAGCTGTGGAAACTACCAATGTACAATTCAGTCAATACGGCATTTTTATTTGTTTATCCACAGTAAAACATCCTCAGGTAACTAGACCTGTCTATCAGGTATCGATGTTTTTCAAGTGGTATCACTACAGAAAAAGTTAGATTTACCATTGGTAGCCAGTGCCAGTTAAGTCGGACAATGTATGGGTCAACAGTACAGGATTTAACAATGACACTATATAAACGTCGTGTCCGGTAATTTCATTTACTACAATTTTTAAGTTCGAAATCTTGCGCTTCGTGTGACTTTTGAACTTTGGCCTCACGGTCCTCACAAGACTGTCATCTGTGATCGGGTTGTAACAGTTGTTTTAGGGTGTTTCAGATGTTAACGTCGGTCTAGGAGGATTTATTTATATACTAGTAGTTAACTCAAGTCCAACGTGTCATCCGTACATCCAAGATGTTTACATGATTGGCAGGAGGTGACCAGACTCAGGACTTCTCCCTGACTGGTTAGAAGTGTATTCCAATGAGACAAACCGGTTCTAACCGGCCGTCAGTCCTTGCGAAAGTGGTCAGAAGATCCATCGGGAGTACCTCAAGTCAAGAGTTTACTGGGTCAACATCCGGGGCATCCAGGTCCTGAGATAATACTGTTACAGGGTGATTCTTGATGTTAATAGGTCTGGCGAAAGCACGGGTTTAAGATCACTAAAAATGTTGAGTCCACTACAGTTGTTCTACTGTGCAAGTCTGGTTGGTTTATCCGCCATTTCAGGCCTGCTGTTCCTGTTGTACCACTGTGTACCTGTCCTGTACTACCTGTGTACGGGGATACTGCTGGGTTCAGTGGGATACTGTCTGCTTCTGTACTTGGCGCCGAAGAACAAAGTGAGTGGGGACGGCAAAGCTGTCTTCATTACAGGTAGGACTTTTATTCAAACACCTGCAGTCATGAGCATGTTCACTTTTAGTCTTAGTATTCTACCAAAACTCTTTAAAAGTGTATCGTGTACACAGATGCTTGACCTGCTTGAATGCATGACTTTCTAACAACAGGCTGTGACAGTGGTTTCGGATTTGGGCTTGCCAAACGCCTGGACTCGCTTGGGTTCACGGTGTTTGCCGGCTGTCTGCTGGCAGACAGTGGTGGGGAGGGGTCGAAGAAACTCCGTGCGGAGTGCTCGAGCAGGCTGAGTACTGTTCAGATAGACGTGACTGATGATGGACAGGTGAAGGCCGCTGTACAACAGGTCAAAGATCGACTGCCGACAGGGTCAAAGGGTGAGTGCCTTTCATAAATTATCGTGAGGGTACGTATACAGTAAACATGACAGGTAAATTTCATAGCGAATATATAATATACATCTATCTTATTCCATAACGTTTAATCTTATCTGACTTACATTTTCGCCCTTTGGCCACTGTATTTACTGACATCAATTTCTAACAGCTATGATTGTTTGATCAGAAGAGGAAACAACCCAATGACAGAGCACATCTATCATATTATAACTTGTTCGTAAAGAAGTGGAATGGGCTTAGTTCCAACATGTTCCAACAGGTCTATTCGCACTGGTGAACAATGCTGGAGTCTTGCAGCCGGGTGAGATCGAGTGGGTCAGCCTCGCCATCTACCGACGTGTGATGGAAGTGAACACCTTCGGTACCGTGCGGGTCACCAAGGCTTTCTTACCTCTGATTCGTCCGG